TCTATCAGGTGTCGGGATTCTGGTGACGCATACGTAACAGAATTCAGGGGTTTTTTGTCAGAGACGAGTGGAGCTGAAAATGAGGAGGACTAGAATGTGACGGCGAGGGGTTGAAAATATGGATGTGGAATGTGGATAGAGAGGACGATTGGAGGGACATGTAAAGAGAAGAGAAAAGAGGGGGGGGCTATGGGTGGGTTTTGGCTAGGTTTGTCACTGGACGGTGGATTCTTTCTAAGTTTGATTGATAGCTTACCACTTATTTCCGTTGTTCCTTTGGACTATAGCCAGTGCTCCGCTTTGGTGACCGCTGCCTCCCGCTGTTGGTTTGGCTATGATCGCTAGCTGATTGCCCGGCTCGCTGGGGCCTGCTACCACGTTACCATGTCCAAAACTTTGGCTCGTTCCTTGCGCGTATTGATAAGGCTGGTATGCCGGGTATGTCTGGTACGGGACGTGATGTTGTGCGGGGTACTGAGGATAAGGTCGGTAATCTCTTGCGAACGTCTGTCCGTGGTTTGAGTTGTGATGACCCCCACCTCGTTTATTGTTCTTGTTGTTTCTGGGGTATCTTTTCTTGCCGCCTCCGTGGTGGGTGCTTTCGTTGTTGCTCTTCCAACCGTTTTGGGATTGACTTTGGTGTTGGTTTGCAGCTGCGAACTCTTGTTTGACAAGGCTCTTCTCTTTGCTCGACTGCTGCTCTGGGTTTTTGCTGATGCCGATGTAGGGGTTTTCGAGATGACTTCTTTCTTTTAAAGCTTCTGCTTTGTCCTTCGCTGCACGGAGAATGCTTTCGTGTATCAAACCAGCGTTTGCCATCACGCGTTTACCGTCTTTTAGCCGGAACTGCATTACTAACTTTCTAACTCTGATGCAGTATCTTAACGCTATCATCCAACACGATGTGGATTGACGGATGTCTATCACGTTTTGTTTGTGCTTTCTGAAATTCTCGGCAGCCGTTGGCATGTTGTAATACTCGTCGACATATCTGATGAATAAGTCCATATTGTCTAACCAGTCACCGTACGTCAAAAGTAGTTCATCTTTTGGGGTCAGACCGGAGTACTGCATATTTTCGTCCCCTTCTTGCAACTCCTTCACTGTTTTCACCTTTTTCTGACTGGCTTTTTCTGCATCTCTATCTATCCAGTCCATGTTGAAAACGGTTAAGGGTACGTATGCCTTCAATTTAGTCATCCTTTGGTGGAAATAGTTGGATAGCTTTAGGAGACTGTTGTTCGGGAGTCCTCGTCATCCATGAAGGTGATTTCGTCTTCTGGGTTTCTAAATCTAGCTCTTCTTTTGACGTGGATTTCGTAGCTTTTGAGACGGAACGCGAGAAGTCTGGTACGGGTATGTCTGATGCCTCCGTTTCCGGCAACCGTGGGGTTGCAGGTACTTCTTGCTCCGTACGTGCCTTCTTCGCCGTTTGGGATCTAATCGGTTCGCTTCTGACAGATTCGCCGTCCGCAATCAAAGATGCCGTTCTAGGTCTTCTGTTCGCCACTCGTGGAGGTTCTCTGGTGGCTGTTCTACCTCTCGGCATTTCGCATTCCGGTTCGTAAGGCACGTAACCGTACGTCGACCTGAATGCTTGTAGCATGGTTCTACCCAGCTTCACTTCCTTTTGGTCGAACGCGTCTGTGATGGTGGTCCACCATTGATTGCGGCTCTCGATGTAGGAGTCTGGCGAATTTACGGAGAGATTTCCAGCACACTGTTAGCGTCCATTTGCTGCGGCTACTTGGGTCTTTCTCTGGGTGCTAAGTTACAGACAGGTTCTTTTGTCTGGTATGGTGGTCGCGCATTTTTTGGATGGGTTTTGGTAAGACAACGTCCTTCTTTTGGTTATTGCATGTACATGGATTCTGTACTTCTAATAAGGGTTTCGACTGGGTCACGAGTCTTCTTGGGACTGGTTTTTGACCTGTGTTCCCCTTCTTATTTTTAGTTCTTTTTGGGTGTCTTTCTTTGTTAGGAATGTGGGATATGACCACTTTGTTTTCCTTGTACAAAGCCTTTGACCCGGACGTTTCTATGGTTTTCTACGAATCGGCTTAAGAAAGAAGGGCCGTCGCGTGGGTATTTCTCCCCTTGTCTCGGTTTTTGTTCCGGGCTGACTCCTTGTTATGCCTAAACGGCCTCCCTATCGGTATTCTTTTTGGAAGAAATTCCGGTGTAGGTAGTCTCCTAGGGAGAAGATATCGACGTAGAGGAGGGGGTTGAAGGCATGGATGTAGCTCCAGCAGCCTCGGCTAAGCCGGTTCCCTTTTGGATTGTGCCTACAGGCTTTCCTGCCGGTATTCTCTTGGAAACCGACGATGTAAAGGGGGGGGGAAGGAGGCATGGATATAGCTCCAGCAGCCTCGGCCGAGCCGGTTGTGCCCATTTTTTGGGACTTTGCCTTCACGGCGATCATCTTTGATGATTTGGGGGTTGTATTTCCGCGACGTGAGGGGAACGAGGAGGTGGGGATGTTGGACGAGTTGGTGGTAGGGACGGACGAGGAGAGCGTTTCACGTGGGATGGGTGGAGTGTGGTTGGATGGTCGACTATATGTTGTTACTTACCATCTGGACGGTTGTCAAACTCTGCGTCTACCCTGTCGTCTTCCCCGGTGAGTTCGCTTTCGCTTACGGACGACTCCTTCTCCTGTCTGATTCTTGCATGTTGGACGGTTGCAGGTGTACCAAAAGGACATATCAGTCCTGCCGGCCCGAAGCTTGTTTGTGCCGTTTGGTTCGGAGGTTGATTGTTGGCGTCTCCTTCGAAGAGGATGTCGTCGTCTTCGTTTTGACCTTGTTCGGGTTGTGGATCGTTCCTGTCGTCGTTACTGCCAGGTTGCGTCTCCTTGGTACGGTTCCTTGACCGACTTCTGAGGCGTGGACCAGTCTCGCCGCTTTGAATGGCTTCGACTGCTCGCTTCCTGTACTCTGCTAGTTCTTCTACAAAGGTTACCATCTTTTGATTTTTGACTTGATACTTTCTGAAGCTGTGTCTATTTAGCTCCTTCCTGTCTCGGGATATTTGTGAATGAAATATTTGTGAATTAAATCAGATACAACAATTCAGGCAAGTCGTAATCGAAGAGATTGGATTAGCTGAGTTCGGAGGCTGGTCAATCGTGGCGTGCGAGAGTGAGAACAAACTTTCCTCTGGTGGGAGAGGTGAAAAGTTTTCTGCTCGCCGCTACTAGCGAGCTATAAGCATATGCTTGTACTTACTCCAACCTGCGCCTCCGTCATGGGGAGCACCAGAGGATTGCCGGAGATTGGGAATGGGATGGGAATGGGAATGGAAGCTGTACAAATGAATAGCCGTACAAAATATACCCGACACCCAATCCGGTAAGGTACTGTCTTGATACTTCCAGCTAGCGCACTAGGCTGCTGGCTCAAACGCATCCCAAAACACGGTAGATATTTTTCAAAAAACTGCATTAAGCAGAGAAGTGATTATTCCACAACGAAGCATACAAAAGACCAAAAAATGGCCAACCCGACACTCGAGAGTCATATATCACTCCAACACATAAGCAAAAGGGGTTTTCTGCTCGAAGAGTGGCAATAAAGGTAGTCAAAAGCATGATGAGTGATAGCGATATTGTCAATGTGATTATTCCTCTGATCGTATATCACTTCCGCCGCATTTATATCGTGCACACAAATTCATTTCATCCCTTAGATGCAAGGCTTCTACAAACCCAGTCGGGCTAGGCAGATCACACGTTAGTCGTGTCGATTCATCGATTCTGACTGCTTTACAAACTACAGCAGTAGATTGCTCAGCCAGGCCAGGTCATCAACTTGTATCTATAGTACAGGCCATCGACTCGTATCTATTAACTCATAGATTTGTATTTCATTCCAGATGGCACAGCTAGGCCAGGCCAACTCTGCTTGCTCGTATCTATCCATACATATGTAGATTTCAGGATTGTACACATTCTATCTATTACATTTCGGTTTTGATTTCTTTGGTGAAGAACTAGTTTAATTTTTCTTATCAATCGAAATCATCAAATGAAATCTCAGGACTCTGTTCATAGGTTCTTCAGAGTAGGATGTTAACATCGGTCGATATCTATGAAATTTAGTTTTATGTCGCGCCCTTATTGT